CATTTTTGGATCCTACTGTAGGAATGTGTTTCAGTGATCTAGAAGAAAAAAATTATATGGCTCTGCAAAGCTCTGAAAATCTAATTGCAAATGTCGGTTTGATTGTATTCTGAAGATTGTTAAGAGCACAAAATTTGTATCAAAGAGATTCAGGTCAGAAACTGAGAAAAAACGTAGGAGTTGTGAAACGAATAGTAGGACGTCACAAGAAGACTTATTGGAAAATTTTAAAAATTGAAAAATTAAGTGGATGAATTAATATGATTCACATTAGAGAATTCCAGCAATAGAATGATCACGCGCCTTGCGTGTCACGTTAGCCCACGCGTCTTAGATTTTATTGTATAGACAGTAGGAAGAGCATAGGCATACTCAGGGCTGGGAAAAAGCCGGCTTTCGCTGAAAAACGCCGGCGTTTCACGCCGCCGCCGACAGCCGACTGTTTTGAAAACACGGTGAATACGTTTAAATTAAATACGTCAAAATTTTAACTTCTTTTTCAGTTCTCAAAAAATGACTCAAAAATTTTTTGAGAATTTTGAAAAATAAGTTTAAAATTTGACGTATTTAATTAAAACGTACTGACCGGGTTTTTAAAAAAGCCGGCTGCACCCGAAAACGGGGTAGCTGAAAGCCGGCTTCACGCCGAAACGTGGCAGCTGAAAGCCGGCTTCACGCCGAAACGTGGCAGCTGTTTTTTAGCCGCCGGCCGCCGGCGTTTCATTTTCCCAGCCCTGGGCATACTGTATCAGTGATGTAATAGTTTTTTTTCGGTTGCCGAGAATCTCTGTACCCTTCAACAAACAACTCTTCCACACAGAATTTATAGTTCTTGCTCAAATTCTTTTACTTTACATTGTCGGGTCCTCAAAAGAACCCTCTCGAAAAATTATAGACGAGGAGTGCCGTTGTACCGTTGTGTTGTAGCATGAAATCTCCGGAGGCCAAACCCCTTTCATCTATTGGCCGAGATGCAAATATGGAAATGAAACAACAGGATAAATGTGAAAAAATCAGCCGACACTTTACGGGTTCCGCGCTACACTATACTTTGCATGCGAAATGGGCAGAGCTTAGCGTATTAGAAAATTTTCAGTGAATTTTGAAAGTTTTGGATGCAATTTTTTTTTTGAAAAATGTGAAAAATCGTTTTTATAAAGACTCGAATCGATGGGAGACCCTAATGGGGTGGCCGAATGACCATACAGAAAAAACTACAGTAACCTAAAACTGCTTTCATTTCCATTTTTCTCGATTTTCGTCTGTTTTTGCAATTTCGTGGCTATAAAAATAATTTTCGACTGGTTTGGGACAGGGCTGGGCGAACAATGGGCTTTCACGGGTTTTGAAAAACACACATTTTGCAAAACACACATGAAGTGTAAAGTAATGGCGCACAGGCAATTTTGTCGATGGGTCTTGACACGAAAAAACGAAAAACGATCGGAAAAATTTAATTTTTGTATTTTTAATAAAATTGTTCAGTTACTTCCTTTTCCATGTGTTTTGCATCATTCTTTTTAGATAAAATTTTTTCAGGGACGGGACGCGTCCCCGTCCCGTTCTGTGGGGTCGTGGAGCGTCCCCGTCCCCAATGGATTTTACAGTGCTAGTTCCCGAAAACGCGTTGCCCGCAGAAACGCGGTGGCCGACGCGGGCATCGATTAATGTCGGCTGCTTCGCTGTGTGTGGCTCACTAAGCCCCGCTCACTTGCCTGTTCAACTACCCAATTTTGAGGTAAGCTCCGCGGGGGAGCAAGATAACACACCTAAATTTTATATCACTGTGTTCGTTTAAAAAAGACAAAATGGAATATCTAAAAACATTTCCAAAATGTTCAACTTTGAAAAAGTTACGGAAGCTCAAAATTGCTGAAAACGTCATGCTCGAGGTATCATAATGTGTTTCAAGTTGAACATTTTTAAAATGTTTTTAGATATTTCATTTTGTCTCATTCAGACGAACACAGTGATATAAAATTTAGGTATGCTACCTTGCTCTGTCGCGGAGCTTACCTCAAAATTGGGAAATTGAACCGGGGCTGAGACCCACTCAGAGAAGCAGCCGACATTAATCGAGGCCCGCGTCGGCCACCGCGTTTGTGTGGGCAACGCGTTTTCGAGAGCTAGCACTGTAAAATCCATTGGGGACGGGG